ATTTAAAGTGCCATTTTATCAGGAAGACATTTTAGGGTCCTCCTGTTGAAATAATTCAGTGAGAGTTTTGTGAAAATAAATTTAGAGGCCAAACATGAACACTCTGGTGACATACAGAGCAGCACAGGTAATATTACTCAAAATTACAGTGTTATTCCACCATCTAATATAAAGATAAATATTAACCTGGGATGATGGCAAGCTGAGAGGCCCCAGGAATTTTTTACAAGCCATTAGATTCGTGACCAACATATTTCACATGACTTGTGTCCTTCAGGTAGAATCAAGTACCCACATCAGACCCACTGTATAAAAGCAACACAGGTCAAAATCTCCAGCTTTTAGAATAAATGTCATCGTTCTGCTCCAGCTTTTATCTGACAGTGGTTAGGAACCCTATCCTCTGGGGACTCTGGATGTCACCTGTTACTTGAACAATCATGGAATAATAAATAGTGCCAGAGACCTATAGGGGGCGTGAACTCAGAACTCCCCATCAAGAGCTCCTAGGTCCTGTGCTCTGAGAAACGCCAGGCCCAGTGTGGCAGCCCCCACAGCCCCTGCCAAACGGCAACCTTTTGTGCAATATTGTTTCTCGTGCACAAGGAACAGCACCTGCCTGGACCCCATGGCTATGAAGCACAGAAATGAGAAGTAAACAAAATAAACATTTACTGAACCCCGGCTATCTGCCCGAAGGCATGTAAAGCGAATCATGAGAAAATCTTTAAAATTCTTAATATCCATTTTCAAGGTCTATCTAATTGAAAATAGAAAATGTGAGAAATCTTTAATAATAGTGTGATTTTAATAACAGTTATCGTAACGATATCTATGGCAAAAGCAAACAAAACACACACCTGGGGAGAACAAACAACTGGAAGGAGATGTACCAATGCCAGTAGTGGTGGTGTTTCATGAGTGGTTTTAAATCATTTTCTATTCTCCATTGTTTTCTATTTTTCATTACCCACATGGGACCAAATACTAAAATGGTGTTTAAGCCATGAAGAAATATTACATGGCAGTGATATAGGATAACTTGCCAATTAACAATATGTTAGGATGAAGGAAAGACCATTTATAGCTGGACAGTCGAGGGCACCTTGGGGGAAACACAGAGAACGGGCCCAGTGTTGAAGGGCCGAGGAGGTGGGAGATGAATCTGGGTACGATTTTACACATCTGGGAATGTTTTGCTCATTTTTACCCTTTTTTTCACTTTTTTGTTAATGAACTTTTACGTGTAAAAATAAATATGCAAGAAAGGTGACTATGCATTTAATGAGTAATTACCACACTATACTAATTAGTATTAGTATGCTAATCATATATGAATAATGTGTGATTCCCATAGGACGGGGAGTGAGAATTACAAAGGAAAGAAGGGCTGTCTCCTCCAAAGGAGCTTGAGCTCATTGAGGAAGACAGTCGGGAAGGTACGAATGAAGTCTGGGGAGCATGCATTATTAAGAGCTAGAGAAGGCTGGGGCACCATGGAAGGCCTTGTGGACACGCTAAGGGGATTGAACTTAACTTTTACGGGAGTTTTCTAAGCAAAGGAATATTGTAATGAACTCAGATCTGCTTTTACCTCCTCTAAATTGTTCAAATTCAACTAATGCTTTGAAACGAAGCTCTATGGTGGAACGTTTTCCTTCTGCTGTGGAATCATGTATTCTCTAACTAACTTAGAAAGTTTTCTTCATAATACCTACAACTTTACACATTAAACGTGTGATAATATATATTAGCTTTCTGGTACGTGATCTATAAGTGGGAATTACATTTAAAATGAATCAGGTTACACATATATTTTTCAGTCCATCACTGTGATGTTTCATTTAACAAGATTTCTTACTGAAGCTGAGCTTTGTATGTTCTTATAAGGAACTCCTTGAACTGCCATATTTCTTGCTTTTCTGAAATCATCTACTTATACCCTAGTAGGCTTTTTCTTTTACATTAAATCTCCAAAATGTGTCTGAGCTACCTTTTCAGCAGAAGACCTTGCTTGAGGGAGAACATATTTAAAGGAAGCAGAGAGGGTGGAAGGGACGAACATCCACCACACCAGATACCTAACCAGAGAAGAAGGATTTGGGGACAAAGGACTGTCTTCTCAGGAGAGAATGACCAGAACTCTAACCATGGCTCATCAAGGCTCTAGAAACTCAGAAAATTTGGCATCCACTGCCATTTTCCCTGACGGTGTGTTGCTGCAGAGTTCTGTTTCCTCGGAAATATTATTTATTGGCTTCTACAATGATACAATTTATTTTGAGGTAAAAGCCCAGAGTTTCTATACTGAAGTCGTGACAACTTCAAAGAACTTTTATAGCCAAATTTTATTGTGTTGCCCACTTATACACATTAACTAACACTATTATTTCTTAGGCCTTGAAACAAATAAGATATCAATAAATTATAACAATTATTAATTTTGAGTAATGGATAGTCTGATATCTGTTCTAGCCAACTCTTTTCTGTATTGTTAAAATTTTTAAAAATTTTTAATAGGTGATAGTAGACACATTGGGCTAAACTTGCGAACTTACATTAACTTAACCATTTCAGGTTTTGTTCTAGTTATATTTTAGGAAACATGTCAGTATTGGGCAAATATAAGTAAAAATATGTAGAATAATATAACTTCTCTGGAGTGGGGTAAGCACAGTTTTGTAAAGGAAACATATTTGAATAAGTCTGGAAAGGCAGCGGGAAGAGATTTGTTGGCCAGTGTTTTAGGAGCCATCAAGTCCTGTTAATGATAGACCTTAATAAAAATCCCGGTAGTGAAGGAGCATTTGGAGATCATTATGTTCTAGAGTATAAATTCTGGGTATTGAAATCTACTCTGAATCACCAATTTCAGTCTTGCTCTGTCACCGAATATTTTCCACGGTAATCATCTGAGTTGACTTTCGAGAAGTTATTTTGTTAAAAACAATATGATTCCTAAATTGAAGTTGGTAGAAAT